CTCAAACGAGTACCTCATAATAATGTTAATAAAATGGGCAAACTTTGTTTGCTACGCGATTAACTCGACTAAGAAGAAGCTGCACTTTTGCTCGGCTCCAAAGATCTACTTGCTCCATACTTTTCTTGGGCTCTCGGCCAGAGGGTCCGTGTTGAAAGGGATAGCACGCTTTACTGCATCGCGTTTCGGAGCCTATTTGTAGACTCTCATCTGAAGACCGTTCGTTGCAGGTTTCTAACCTATCACTACTTTCAAGATGAGCGCTTACTCAGAATTGATGGATACGACTTGCCTGCCCGAAGATGATTCCCCCATTCCGACTGAACGGCATTGGACTGCAGTTTCGAGTCCGCCTGGGCCTCGTCATCAGCCGCAAGCGGACTCGAAACCGCGTCGTGGATGCCAGCAGGTGACTGGTCATTTGTGACTTCCAAGGCGGGACTTTTGGTGATGAAAACTTGCGTTTGCAGCCAGACTCGACTTAAGCATTAGCCATACTCATTATGAGTCATTGTGGGGAGAACTCTATGCCCACTCTGAAAATGAACCGGACCCATCTGGACATATTAAGCTCTCCTTCGCATGTTCATCCTTCAACCAATCCGGACCTCCTCGAGCAGTCGTCCTCACCTCAGGTTGACTACATGCGGTCAGCAAACTGCTGGTCCTGTCCGACTCCTACAGCACAATTGCATTTTCACACTCACGTGCACGAATGCCTACTTTTATATGACCTCATCCGTTGGTAGTTACGCTGGTCTGGATGTCACTTATTGAACTGATGTGGTGTCGCTGTGGTGCCTAGCGCGAATTCAGACTCTGAGACCTTGCCAACCAGCCGCTTGCTGCACGGGCCCACTCCAACTCGGCATTGTCAGGCGATGTGTTGACCTCGCATATGCAGTTGTTTATGTGCGTGGTTTCACTTTTGTGTGTACTTCTGTACTGACCTACCCTCGATTTGGCATCCTCTCATTCGTCGACCCTCCTTCGGACGGACGATCAAGTCAGCCGGTTACTACGGGCCGGAGAAGGGTAGAGTGAGGAAACCGACCAATTCCGGCATTCGGGAAGCACATTCTACGGGGCGAAAGCTCGAGCTGATCACATTAACTGGCGATCTCTGGTCATCGGTTAGACTGATCGAGTTCTTAAATGAGATTATAGCGTTCTAGGATGACTAAGCGTCGAAGTCTACTCACAACGGAAATAAGTAGCTGACGGTATAAAGGCTGAGATGGCGTGACATTTTGTATGTTCGCAGTCTCCTTTCGTTGTTTAGACGTTGTTTCATCTTAGGTATGAAGACCAAGATGGTGTGGCCTCTTGTGTGGTTGCAGTCTCCTTTCGTTGTATAGAAGGTGTTTGACCTTGTTTTCGCAACATGGTCATATTGGTAGGAAGACTTATTGGAACGCACCTAGTCCGGG